ATCTGACACATGAGACGTAAAGTGTAAACGAAATGAGTCACTCAGGTGCAAAGTCAAATATTGGATGAACTTGAGGTGTAAATGCCAAATTTCCCAAACTAAAGTGTTGTATTTTTGGATGGAGGGGGAGGCAGTAATATGTAAAACTGGTTCCTGATCTTGTGCGAAAGCTCTGTCCTTTGCTTGTTCATCGCTCATATCTGCTCCACTCTGTTTTTTTGCCAGAACTCTAATGATCAGAGAAGCACTTATTCTTCTGAACAGAATTGTTTCACATCCCCAATACGCCGGGTCGGTTCTATTGGCACTGACGAACCGCAGGGACATAGCCAGGTTGAGCGTTGACACCGCGAGCCGGTTATCTCACAAGGGTAAGTGCCTATTGCATTGCGACAGCATAACGCAACAGATTAGGGCAACAGAAATTGTTGAGCTCGCCCAGGGTTTTCAGAGAAGACTATACACATTTCTAGGGGCTAATGCCTCGGGAAAGAAGCCATCGTGAGAGTTTCTTTCTCGGTGAAGTGTGCATAGGAGTCTAATGCCCCTATCAACGCATCACTTCCTTGCTTCTTTTATGTTTTCTTTTTTCATTTTGTGACCCGTATAATGTGACACAGTGAAGCAAGCTTGATCCAATTCAGATCCTTTTGGACGATTCGTGACTTGTATATGACTGGATGAGATCAGTAATAGTAAGCTAATATTCTCAATAACCTCAACTGTTTACCCCGCCGCTTGCTCTTCGTAGCTTGTTTGATCGCTTGTCTATTCTTTTCAATTGAACTTTACCGCATTGGACTCGGTTAGAAGTTGAGTAATTTACTACGGAGTATAGTTTAAATTGCTAACTGAAAAATGTTGAAGTGAATAGAAAAGAACGTGTCCTTTTCTTCCTGTGGTTTTGTCCGTCCTCCATCCGCCTTGATTGCCGTCCATTGTCTACAACATTGTGAATGTGCTTTTCAAAGGCTGTTTTTGGCATTTCATAATGTTAGTGTTAAATATAATAACTAGATAACTAATTTGGATGCCCCAAAAGAAAAATAGATAACAAAATTCAAAATGATACCAGTTGCTTACACCATTTTGTTTGGAATACCTACGGTGCTTTGTTTGTAAAAATGATGGTTCCTACTCCCCTAACCCTCCCCCTAAACCCCCCACCCCAGCCCCACAAAATGACGTTTGTATACTGCCAGGGTAGGGAGGGGGGCTGGGGTGGGGGGTTTAGGGGAAGGATTAGGGGGGTAGGAACCATCATTTTTACAGACGGAGCACCGTAGGTACCCCAAACGAACTGGTGTAAGCAAATGACACCAGTAGCACTAATGTCATTTTAGACTCACCGATATATATATATATATATATATATATATATGTGTGTGTGTGTGTGTGTATGTATGTATGTATGTATAAAACCATTTTTGATGCCATTGTTTCGCACCATGACAATTTCTTTGCCAGGAGCCGTCAATTTTTAAATTTGTTTGCAAAAGTTACATTTTTGCAGTATGGCAGACCCGAACCCGATCCATAGCTGGAGAAGAGCAAAAAACCCATTTTATGGCCCATTCTGAGTCAGAGCCATAATGGAACAAGTATAAATAGAAGTATTTTATGTATTGTGAGGGATCCTTTTCTTCTTCCCCACTTCTTCACTTGCAATTTCTACAAAAATGTCCTTACAGGTATTTTTGTATGCCATTATCATAGTCAATAGTAATTTACCAAACATACATCTACAAATGATTAATGCTATGATACTATCTGCTTGTCAAACAACATATTCTGCCATTAGCTAATACAATCCAATATAAGCTACCAAAAGAGGCTTGACTTTCCTCCACAAAGATAAAACATTAGAGCATAATTTCATTTTATGGAGAGAGGGAGTACCATGTCCCTAAGATTCTCAGAACAACAACAACAACAAAACATTCTCACAATTGAATGAGATGAATGCCAAAAGCAAAGTCTAATGACGCAAAAAACAGAAGTTTCAGTTTTCAACAAAAGCAGTTTGATCCCATCACCATATTTCCTTACCAAACCACGGTTCTCCTCCTTTGATCTCAAACGAGCCTCCTGAAGGTCGAGACCCACCTTCTGTAATGAAGCCCGGATGAGAGGAAACCTGCGGTGGCAAGAGACTCCACGTGCAGTCCACACCAGAACTCAACCCCAGACTTGTCAAACCTGCAGAATTTTCCTTATGCATATCATGATCATCTGCATTGAGATTCATCCCAAGCGGATTCCTGCATTTTTTTCACGATTTGGTCTATAAAGAAGTTCATATCCGAGAATGTGTTCTGCACTACATCCGTCCCGTAAAGATCTTCCTAGTTTGACATTCACGAAATTTAAGAAAAATGTTGAAAAGATGCAGACCTTACCACATGTTCACTTGTGTGTGTGGGGGGGGGGGGGGGG